TTATATAAAAGCGTTATCATATATAAGTTAATAGTGTAAAATAAATTTACCAATTTTCCTGGATTCACTAATAAAAACATCCATATTCTGACTATCACCATTATAACCAGGTATCAAATGCACAGATGGCAAGTGTTTTGCGAGTAAATTTTTAGCCTCAATCTTTTTTTTTTTTTTAGGATTATAGTAGTAAGATCTACTAATTCAGTACAAAATTTGTTCAAATCCTCTGAAATTAATAAAATCAACCTTATCTCCAATCGCTAAAATTGATTCTGACGTAGGGCCAATAAATATAATTCCAGAGTTGATAACTTCTCTGGCGAATTCTGCGTTTTCGGATAAGAATCCATATCCTGAAAAAAAAAACTTTATATAATTGAATCAAGAAATTAACAAATCCATCGGCTATAAACTTTTATATATCATTTATACCCGGATGGATGGCATCAACGCCAACTCGCTTGGCGGCTTCGATAATTTTGTCGCCCCTAAGATATGAATCGGCTGCAGAGGGCGGCCCTATATGAATTGCTTCATCTGCCAACTTTACAAAAGGCGCATTTTGTTCACTTATTAGCCATATAAAAAATATCAAATTATAATTGAGATTTTAAGTTAAACAAAAAAATTTGTAAAAAAAACTGTAATATTGAAAATAGCTTACATATCAGAATATACTGCAACCGTGGCTATTCCCATTTTTTTACATGTTTGCAAAATCCTACAAGCTATTTCTCCACGATTAGCAATTAAAAGTTTTTTAATCGGTTTAATTGACATAGTGATACGTAGCAGAAGTATTGCTGATCAAAATTTTATTTTTCGAAAAAGTTTATCACCCTGTTTATAGCACATAATTTCACGTGATAATGTAATACGGCCCGAATTTAGCAATAAATTTTAATGAAATTTCTCAAAAATGCCAAAAAGTGGAAAAAAAATCGGACGAGGATTAAGTGACACTTATATCATATTGTTAGTATTATAATTTGTGAAACTTTGTAATTCGAGCAATAATCCAATTCCTTCACAGTGCGGATTATTTTACTTGAATTTATTAATGAAGAAAAAAAAAAGGATAAAGTTTAATAAATATTTCATAATGTATTAAATATTTATTATTGTAATTTGCATAATCACTACGTATCACTATTTTTAATAGGATGATTGGTAGGATATTGTACAAAACAAAGTAATATAAGCATTAATGATTATTTCATGCCTGGTAATAACAGGTTTTCATTATTTATTGTCGCAGCTGATGCTGAAAACGGCTGATGCTGAAATTCGGATCTATTTTGATATGAATTTTTTAAAAATTTTTGGGGTGTTTTTTCCCCGCTTTTTTTTTATAGTTGAGTTAGTGTTTAGGGTTAGAATTGATAATTAACAAGTATATGTGGATTTTAGCAGGGCTTATATTTTAAAATCGAGACCCCAAATTTCAGCTTCAGCATCAGCTGCGACATTTATTATTATATATTGACCTATGTCATAATATAACTTAGGAATATAGAAAATAAGGAAAATGAGGAAATGAGGAAAAATAAATTGTGGGGGTGCGCTTATCATGGTGATGATGGATATTTGTTGTTCCGGAGGCGGCAAACCATATAGACCAACATGTCATACTAAGAATGATGTAAATCTAGATAATTAGATTACATGCTATCTTCTAATAATTTCGACTATTTAAAAAAATATTCGTATCGATGCATTGAACTAAGCTCATGGTGTCCTATTGATTAAAGTATAAATGTGAAAAATTATGTCGTGAAATTGTATCAAAGTACCTTGGACAACCATCTAAAAGAAGTTCTCAAAACACAGAAAAAAAGAATACAAACGTAATGTGATTACATTTCACATTCTTGCCAGCGTAATGACTTTTGATAAACCTAAACCTCATAAAATACTAAAGTGATTAAAGAAAATTTCAAATATGCTTGTTTATTTATAAAGAAACATTTAAATTAGCTAGCTGTTCATCTTCAAAGAATAGTTTGCAACTTCAACTTGTAAGTAAAAAAAAGCATAATACAGTTCATTTCTCGCTACGAGTTCCCATAACCATCCGCATACAAAACACAAATGTTTTTTGGCTTTTTAGTAACCGTCCACCTATAAAACACGGAAAGTGTTCCTTGGTAACTGTCCACCTATGAATATAGAAAGTGTTCCTTGGCTTCTTTATAACCATCTACAAAACACAGAAAATGTTCCAGGCTTCTTTATAACCATCCACCTACGAAATACAAAAGGCATTCCTTGGCTTCTTTATAACCACCTACGAAACACAAAAAAAATTTCCTTAGCTTCTCAGTAGATCTAAGTCTACAGAAACAGCATTTCTTTGACTTCGATCATCGAAAACATAAGAAGATGATCTGAAACGATCTGCATTATTTATATTTGTCCTTACGCGTTTTTTCGTGAATCGTTATTTCAGATTTGTTCTACCATAAATAGAGAAGTTGCTATTAGTGAACAAAAAAAATGTTGCTATCTTCAATAAAAGTTCTGTTAAGAATAACAAAGGTAAAGAACACAAATGGTTTAATTCTTTTGATGGATGAACAAATAGTCGAGAAAAAAGAAATCGAATTTGAAGAAATCAAGTACAAGACACAATTCAACATGCTTTATCTCCAGAATTTCACAACCTTTCACATTTTCTCCTTCAGAACAAGGAGCATACATTGAACCAATCTTACAACGTGTTGTGATAGAACAATAAAAGAATTTGCGGTAAAATGTAATTCCCTACACCAATGCAATTTTTTTAATACAGACCTTCAATGTATCTTAAATTTTATGATTAAAATATTTTCTTGTTTATAATCAGTCAATCTGACTAAACATTATTTCATGGAGACAAAAAAATTACTATACGTATAGGATTACAAGATCAAAAAGAAGGTAGAATAATAAGCAACTGCAAAGATTAACAATACTGGCACTGGAGGTAATTGTGTATTTGGGTAAGTTTTAAAGATGAATATGGATATCATTCTAATGCTTATAATATTAACTAATAATAATCTATTATCTTTTGTGCATGTTTTATCGATAATAGGGGATAAAGAAGCATTGAACTATTGAGTAAAATTAAACAAAAATTGAAATTAGAACTTGCAAAATGATGGTTGGTTGAGCGTTTCAACAAGACCCTGTGTGAAGCTATCGCCAAACTTGTGAAAAATATCGTGGACTGGGACCTGGGTCTCAATCAGAGGCATGAGCACAATACTGTAATTGATGTTAATTAAGCATTTTTTGCCGTAATACAACACTGCGTTCACACCTCTAGTCTCAATAATAAAAACGAAGTGTAAGAAAAATTAGAATTAATTAGCAAGATCTCAAGACAAACCAACAATAGAAGCAAAGAAGAAAAATGTAAATGATCTAGAGTTTAGATTTTACTTTAGACATGTTCAATGAACTAAAATCATCAGATATAGATGAGGCATTTGCAAACATCTGAATAGATGAAATCTAACAAGGACAAATGTATTGAAAATTATAAAGTAAGTATG